CTGTTCCGAGAGAATGACAGGATCAAGAAGACTTGCACTATTATTGGTTATCCGTTATGGAAAATTTATAACATTTCTTAGATTAAAACTGGTTAAAATATACGATAAAACGTGTTGCCTAGAAACAGTTAGAATGTCTAAATTTATGTCACCTATTATAACAAGCTTAGCCGATGAATCCATTGCTTTTTCTATTGAAGTACGAAATTGTTCCCAGAACATATTATTGGCGTTAGGAGGTCTATATACGGTACATAATAAAATACTACTACGTGTAAAATCAAGTTGTATCCGTATTAACTCGCCATTCAGAAACTCTAAGTCTAAACGTCTGGTAGCTTTTATCTGTGACGAAACATACACTAGTATTCCACCACCAGCATTATTCCTATCAGCCCTAAAAGGTTCGCTGAAACCTTGTAATTCTAAATCACGAGGTAGTATATTATCATCTAGATGAGTTTCAGTCAATGATATAACATTGTAATCACTTGCTAAGTCCATTATGTAATCTATTTTTGTTTCTAAAACTGAGAATATTTAAATGGAAGATTGACAACTCATGACTAGTTGGTCCTGGATTAGGTTCGACATCCATGCAGATAAGTAATAATATTAAGACAAAAACTGTGTACATATCATTGTTAAGATAATTTTGAAGTACCCTTTGTATAACTAAGGTATCCCTAGGATGATACATATAGGCGAGTTGATTACACCCTTTTAGAATTGATAACAGTATATATCTAAAAGTAATAAAAACTTTCTTACAGATGAGACTGTATACTTTTATATTATATAATACAATCGCGGCCCTATAACACGTTAGACTATTACCCATTGTCAAAAACGTACACAATGCAGGTCATTGGGGCAAGATCGGACGCACTCGTACGAGGTAATAACGCACCAATTACTTGCATTACCGCGTGTGAACAGGTACATGTAAGTCTGGGATAAAAATGTATAGACAGATCAGACGACAGAGAAGTCAGAGAAAACAGGAGATAGAGTGAACAGACAAACATAAGTAGAGAAAGTAAGTAGTAATGACTCATTGAGATTGGTTTTCTGTAAGATTTCACACTATAGGAGAATCAAAAGTCTAGGGACATTTTGTACATAAAGAAAAACAAGTACATAATATAACTAGCATGATACCTCATGCTAGTTATACCTCATGATACCTCATGCTAAGTACCGCTGAACATTCTATATACATATTGTGCAATATATACCAAGGGCAATAGTGCAATAATTTGTTAACTTGTATGTTCTGTATAAGAGTATATATACTTCTGTATAACTTATAAACTTTGAAATATTTACGCTGATACATATAAAAACGTCTATATAAACTTTTACATTTCCTTTCTATTTTTCTTTATACTCTGTAAACTACACACCTATACATGTAAACATTTCTTTATACTCTGTAAACTACACACCTATACATGTAAACATTTCTTTATACTCTGTAAACTACACACCTATACATGTAAACATTTCTTTATA